AAATATTCATCTATTTTATGACAATACAGAATTAATGATTTGTTTTCAAGTAATGGAGGCGTCTTTTTAATGAAGATTTTAAAAATACATTATTACTATAATGAACAACAATCCAATTAGAAATCATATTGATAATTATACTAATTGGGAAACATAAAATATTCATCTATTTTATGACAATAGAGAATAATTACTTTGTTTACAAGCAATTACGACGTATCCCTAATGATGATTTTCAAAATGCATTATCATTATAGTGAACGACAATCCAATTAAAAATCAAATTGATAATTATGCTAATTGTGAGACATAAAATATTCATATATTTCATGATAATAGGGAATAATTGATTTGTTTCCATGGAATTAAGATATATTTTTAACGATGATTTCAACAATTCATTATCACCATAATGAATAACAATCCAATCAAAAATAAAATTGATAATTATGCTAATTATGAAACATAAAATACTTGTCTATTCTATAAGAATAAGAAATAATTCGTTTGTTTTCAAGGATTTGAGACGTATTTCTAATGGAATTACATGATTTAGTGATGTATGCTTCGCTGCTGCTGTAAACATTTGCTTATAAATTTATTTTTCGCTTTTTCACAAGTTAAACGTTAGGTTTTTTATGTTTCTAGTAACGTATATGATTAAGTTAGATGAATCTATTAGATTCAATCTAATGATAATAGTAGCAAATGTTGTTCGAGATTTTTTATGTGAAAGATTTTTTTGTAATCTCAAATATTCGTCAAAGAATATTTAAATCTAATTATAATCCATAGTCGGGTAGATAAAAAAGTTATTTTCTACGTCAAAGGTTTATATCTGATGTCATACGTTCTTGAAAGTAATTTGTAATCTAACTATAGTCCGTAATTACATAAATAGCTTGTAAAGAAGAAACGGTTTTCTTTATTAAAGTTTTTTTTCATCGTAAATGTACGTGAAAGTAAATTTAAATCTAGCTATAGTTCGCAGTTCAGTAGATAAAAGAATTACTTTCTATCGCAAAGGTTTAATTCTCGTCTCAAACGTTTGTGAAAACTTACTTTTCAATGTATCTATATTTATAATTAAATAAATACACTGAGGGTGTGGGTGTGGTGTCACTGATTGATATGAAAAGACATCTGCACCCACTCCTTTTTTCTTATTAATATTTATGTATTGTACCATTTCATTATATGTAATAATATCGAAAGCACATCTCCTTTCAATAAATGTTTGATATAAAATATCAAAGTTTGTTTTCTAATATTAATACTATTTATATTAATAAAATAGGAACTCATATAATGATTAATATTATCAATAATTAAATATAACTCAAGAACAATATATCTATATGTTTATTATAATTAATAGTTTCAAGTTTCAAATCTTAGAAAAATTTCATCAATAAAACATTTATTTTAATTCAATATGTTCTATCGAAGGAAATCAGCCAGACTTTTTTTATTGATTTGCCTCTTTTGTATAATGAAAAGTAAAAGTAGAGTAATTGCATTGATTATTTTTCAGCATAAAAATAAACTTATCAAAGTTCTAATTCTGTTTATAGTCGAAATGGTATATGTCATGTAAAGTTTGATTGTACTGGCTCTTACAAGAATCAAATGCATAAATAACAAAATAAACACATTTTCTTCTTTATTATTATAAGGTCGATTTGTAACTGAGTTGATCAAATAAGAAGAAGAATATTTTCTTTATCCACTAAGTCATTTTATTTTAAAAAAATAGCTATTCATATTTATTCCATTTAGATACAAATAGGAGTGAGAGAGAGAGATGAAAAAAGGAAAATAAAGAGGAGAAAGAGAGTGATCGATATGAATACTTCTTACTTCTTGTCAAAGCAGAGAAAAATAAAGAAGATGCTATGATACACCTTCTTTCGAGTTGTGTAAGAAGTAAACAAAAATGTAGAATAAAATAAGAAAAAGAAAGATGTGGATGAACAATATGATGGTCATGTGGGAAATAGAAGTGACAGAAAAAGATGGAAAATGTTAATTTAACAACAGCAAACCTTGGCACATGATCTTTTAACGGTGACAGTTTTCTTTCGGATGACTTTGCAACATGGTTTGCAGCAGCACACAGTTTTAGTTACACAACATTTTGGACCGCAGCAGCAGCAATCACAACAGCAAGGATCGCAACAAGAGCAACAACAGGGATCACAACAGCATGGATCACAGCATGAACCACAACCACAGCCACAGCCGCAACCGCAGCCACATCCACAACCGCATCCGCATCCGCAACCACATCCACAACCACAGCCTGGCATATTAATAGTAATAATGTAGTGAAGAATAAAACTAGAGTAAGATGAGAATTGATTTGTGAAACTATGAGAATAGGTGTGCGTATATATATAGTGACAGAGAAACGAATAAAATTGTTTTCAGTCAACAACAAAAACAACACTTCACTACTGTCTTCACATGACAATATTTAATATGTACATGTCATAGAAAAATACAGACGGAGAGACATAAGTAACTCTTTGTTACTATTGATGCAATACAACAAAAATATGAAATTTACACTTGTTACCAATGTTTTTCCTTTAATTTGTTTTGATAGTATATAGAAAACATCTAAATTTAATTTCACATTTACCTTGTGACCAAAACTCTCGAAGGGTAAATGTCATTTGATACACCTTTTGATGAAAACAGTGTTAATCAAAAAAAAACTATATTTTTTTGATGAAAAATATTGATTATTACGTTCTAGTACACACATGCTGTAATATCATAAAATTACGTGAATGTTATAACACAACACAACACAACATAAGAGAAAAGAAGTAAGAAAAAGCATCTAATATATGAATACAATGAGATTTTTATTTCTTTGATTGTTCCTGATTTTGATCGGTGAAAATTTGGTATGATCAATTGAGCTAAAACCTGTGATGAAGAGCTTGCAGATCAATGACAAGAATGACCAATTTACATGGAATCTACTGTCGAAATTAAAGATGTTTTTTTTCATGTGAAATCATCTGTTTAGCAATATTCATGGAAAGATTGATTCCATTTGTTTAAAAAAATGATATGAGTAGAAGAACACTACATAAACAGATAAATATTGTATTTCATCGATATAAGAATTAATCAAATCAGTCACACATATTAAGATATTCTTATTTGTATGTAATCATAGCTCGCCAACGAATATCGATTGTTGACAAATGAGTACGAATGTGGGTGAGTGTGCACTGAAAAGATCTTTTAGTGCACAATCCTGTTCAGCATAAAATAGATTTTGAGATTTCAAACTAATTCTAAATCCTTTTCAGTGCGGTTTTTATTACTATCCAACACCTACACTTATATTCTTCTTTACACTGATTTGCTTTTTTTATCGTTTGATTTGTTGTTAGAAATGATTGCATTTCAGATGAGTCTTGTTTGACATGTGTCTTTTGCTTATAAATAGTCCATATTCATATACTCAAGATTTAGAAAAAAGAAGAATTTCTTTTATATTCTATCATTTGTTAGTAATGTTTATTGACATTAACTGCTGAGTTTATCTTTCATTTATCAAACTTATATGTAAAATATCGTTAGATTCGTTTTTCTGTAAATCTTACATTGTTGACAAACACACACAGCATCATTTACGTATTTTTTCAAATGGCAACATCAAGTAATGAGCTACTCTGTACTACATGCGAAAAAGTAAAAGCAACATTAAAATGTGCAGGATGGTCACAAGATTATTGTTATGATCATTTGCGAGACCATCGACAAGAATTAAATGTACAATTAGATCATATTGGAAATAATTATAATCATTTTCGACAACTATTTAATGAATATATAAATAATTC